AAAAGATGGTGTCCCTCAAAAGGCAGAGAAAAATAATTCTGTTGAAAAAGGTTTATCACAAAAATATAAGTAACTTTCAGGCCACATCCGCTTTGTACTTGATTCATTTAATTCAAATGTGAACTCTAAGAAAGGAGAGTCAGAAACAAGATGGAAAGAATGAAACAAAAAGTTTGCTGGTTGAGAAGCAGGGGGAAATCAAAAGTAAACCAGGGGGCGGGGTGGGGGGAGGCTATAAAGAAACGAAAAAGCAGCAGCAGAATTCAAAACTGCATTTTGATGGTAAAGAACAGAACTGAAACTACAGAAAATCGAATCCATAGATGTGGAAGATAGTTGTTCTTTGAGGATACAGAGGAAAAGCCCAAAAGGATAAAAACAATGGGAGAGAACATAACAGACACTGAGGTGCAAAGAAGAAACCATACATGGGGCGCCTGGGTGGCTCAGTCGTTAAGCGGCTGCCTTCGGCTCAGGTCATGATCCCAGAGTCCTGGGATCGAGTCCCACATCAGGCTCCCTGCTCAGCAGGAAGCCTGCTTCTCCCTCTCCCACTCCCCCTGCTTGTGTTCCTGCTCTCGCTGTCTCTGTCTCTGTCAAATAAATAAATAAAATCTTTAAAAAAAAAAAAAAAAGAAACCATACAAAAGCAAGAATCAAAGTAGAAAGGCTGATGAAAAGCCTGAGCTTATAAAGTTAAAAGGTTCCATCTTGGGGCGCCTGGGTGGCTCAGTCGTTAAGCGTCTGCCTTCGGCTCAGGTCATGATCCCAGGGTCCTGGGATCGAGCCCCACATCGGGCTCCTTGCTCGGCGGGAAGCCTGCTTCTCCCTCTCCCACTCCCCCTGCTGTGTTCCCTCTCTCACTGTCTCTCTCTGTCAAATAAATAAAATCTTTAAAAAAAAAAAAAAAAGGTTCCATCTTATCCAAGTCAAATTAGTAAAAACAAAGGCATCCTTGGAGATACTATGCAGGATTTTGTCCATTTTAAGGGTAAAGAAATATCCTATAAGAACCCATGGAGAGGGAAAGATGCAGGGAGCATCTACAATATTTCTGAAAATGTATAATTGGAAGAGAGATTCCAAGGAATGTTGGGAAGTGCTTCTGTTGGAGAAAAGAGCTTCTGCCATAAAACAAACTTGAGAAATGCTGAATGAAGCAAAAAAAAAAAAAAAAAAAAAGACAAAATCCCAGACTGAGGCTTTCTCAGGGCTTTTAAAGTGTTTGCACATGTTGTTAACTTAGCAAGATTAGCAAGTACAGTTTTTCAAATTTATTTGACAATGAAAGCCTTGAAACCCATGAACTCAATGAAACTCAATGAACCCAATAAAACCCATGCAGTCAGATGAGTGCTCAATGGAATACACATTGGGAACCACACTTCTACAGCATTTTGAGAGGTCACAGTTATGACCTAAACTTGCAACAATTTACCAGGTGCGTTCTTGCATGAAGACAAGAGAAAAAGACTTTCCTACACACCAGAACTTAGGACACATATCATGTGCAGCTCTATCTTCCATGGGGGAAAAATACTCAGCCATGCACTTTTAGCAAGCAGGAGAGAAGCAAAATCATAGTGAACCAAAAAAAAAAAATTTGTATGAGGAAGTTGTATAAAAGACCTGGAAGTGAATATTTAAAAGCTGTTAGACACATGGCTCTGTACAAATCCATCAGGGTCCAGTCATGAGACAGAAACCACATCCTTCCCTGCCTCGTCCCATGCCCCAGGGGGCTGACCCCCACAAACTGCATTCATCCCAGAGGCTCCCTGGTCTGCCAGCTTCTGGCTGGGTTCTGACAACAGGAGGCATGGGCAGGAGACTGGAGGGTGGGAGGAGAGGAGTGTATGGTATACCCTTCCTGCTCCCTCCCTACTTTAGTGCCCTCTCTCTAGGCACTAATGTTCCCAGCCTCGGTTCCAGCTCTCTCTGTACTCTAGATACATGCGTTCCTCCCCTGTCCCTGTGGTCCTGGGGATGGTAATGGTTCCCGGTCACTGCTAGTCTCCAGGTGCCTCACCATCCCTTGTCTGTTGCCTTCCCCTTATTCACACTTCTGTAGGTAGTCCCTTCATTCAAGTCTCTTTATCTAAACCGTTTTGGGAGAATGTTTCATGCCGGGACCCTGACTCACACACTTCTCGATTGTTTGTAGAGGAGAATAACCCTGGTATTAAAATACAACGACTGGCACCAAAGAAAGATGGAATGCATGAATGAGTCATACACTCGTCTCATTTATATAGATGTAAAGTCCTAATAAAAGTTTAATCAGATTAAGTCAAAAGTAAGCCCAACAATATATTAAAAGAATACACCATGAGTAAACATTCCTGGAATGCATAGATGATGCTCTATCGAAAATGCAGTAAGCTGAATAACCACAGCAATAGGTCAGAGAAGAAAAAGATCATTTCACATGCTGAATAGATGTTTGGTAAATGTCAACATCCATTTCCTGATTTTCTTTTAAAAAGCTCTAGTGAACTGGAAATTGAAGTGTACTTATTTCACATGATAAAAAATACTAACTCTCAAACCCACAGGCAATACCAAAAGAGTGGAAGTCAAGACGCATTCTCATTAAATATGGAGACAAGGCAATCCTAGCTAATGCAGTTAGACCAAAAAAAAAAGAGAGAGAGAGAGAAAACAAATTATAACATATTTGTAAATACGATGGTCTTCTTAGAAAAACTAGGAAAATACAAAAATTATCAGAATAGAAGATTTTAGGAAAGTGGCCAGTTATAAAATAACTACAGAAAAGTTAGTCTTTTCTACTTCCTACTAACCTGTTAGAAAGCATGATGCACACAACAGAAGATGCTATATTAGCTATCCATTGCCACGTAACAGATTACCCCAAAGCGTAGTGGTTTAAAACATTACCCTCTCAGTTTCTGTGGGTCAGGAACCTGGGTGTGCCTTAGCTGAGTTCTCTGTCTCAGGGTCTCCCACCAGGCTACAATCAAGTTCTTAGCCAAGGCTGTGGTCTCATCCGAAGATTCACCTGGAGAAGCCCACCCACATGGTGGCAGGCGGGAGTCCGTTCCTCATGGGTTGATGGGCTGAGGGCCTCAGTTCCTTCCTACTTGTTGGCCAGAAGTCACCCTCAGTTCTTTGCCATGTGGGCTTCCCATAAGGTGGCTCACAACGTGGCAGCTGGTTTCATCAGAGCAGGCAAGTAAGAGGGCCAGAGAGAGTTCTAGCAAGCAAAAGTCACAGTTTCTTATAACATAATCACAGAAGTAACATCCCATCACTTTTTGCCACATTCTATTCATTAGAAGCCAGTCACTGGGTCCAGCCCACAGACAAGGGGCGGGGATCTTACGAATGAGGACTTCCAGGGAACGCTGCGAGCCATTTCAGAAGCTGCCCACCACAGACACAATTTCTGCATTTCATGAAAAGAAGCACAAAACACACTCATCTATAACACAAAACCTCACTCAAGAAGAACAATAAAAGAGACCTTCATAATAGAAAGATACACCATGTTCCTGGTTGGAAACACTCAATGGTGTAAAGTTGTTTGTCACTAAATTAATCTATAAGTTTAATCCAATTCCAATTCCCAGAAGTATTGTTTTGATTTTGTTTATCTTGGCCAAAAAAAAAAAAAATCTAGAATTCATATAAATGACAAGAGCAAAACATAGTTTAAAAATAATAAAGGGAACTGTCACGATTATTAAAATGGGCAATATCAGTGTTAGAATGATCTGACAGGCCAATGGGACAGAACAGAAAGTCCAAACACATAAAATATCTTCAGTATATGATTAATGGCCTTTTAGATGACTAGAAAATGACTGATTCATTTATGATCCATATTGGGATAGTTGCTTAATTTGTTTTAAAGTTATGTTTTTACTTTTCACCACACACCAAGACTAAATAGGTTGCCTGGGTGGCTCAGTTGTTAAGCGTCTGCCTTCGGCTCAGGTCATGATCCCAGGGTCCTGGGATCAAGTCCCGTATCGGGCTCCCTGTTCGGTGAGAAGCCTGCTTCTCCCTCTCCCACTCCCCCTGCTTGTGTTCCTGCTCTCGCTCTCTCTCTCTCTGTCAAATAAATAAATAAATAAATAAATAAATAAATAAATAAATAGGTTAAAGAGTTAAAAAATGAAATCATGGGGGCGCCTTGGCGGGGGTGCTCAGTCAGTTAAGCAGCCCACTCTTGATTTCGGCTCAGGTCATGATCTCAGGGCTGAGATTGAGCCCCACCGAGAATGAGGGGCTCAGCGCTCAGCAGGGAGGCTAATTGAGATTCTCTCTCTCTCTCTCCTTCTGCCCCTCCCCCCTATGCACACACACAACTCTCTAAAATAATCTTTTTTTAAAAAGTGAAATCACAAAATCATGAAAGAAATTTTAATTGATAATGTATATATGCTTGGTGAAGGTAAAGGTCACACAACAAAGTCTGAGATCATAAGGGGAAATGAATAATTTGACAGCTTAAAAATGAGGCACTTTGGCACATCAGTAAAGTATAAAAAATATTAATGCAAATGACAAACTTCAAAAATGTACTGTACAAGATGTGACAAGGAGTTATACATGGAAAGGAGCTAAATATACTACAACTTCAGACTAAACAGATGAATGTGACGATAGAAAATAGTCATAAAATATGACCGGGAAATTCACCATTTATTCATTTAGTCAATAAATATTCACCGAGTGCCTCATGCCCGCCAGACACAGTTCTAGGTACTTGTGACACCACAGTGACCAAGACAAAGGTGCCTACCCTTGTGGAGCTTACATTCTAGGGGGAGAGACAGGCAGCAAACAAAGAAGTAAATTGTATTTTAGAAGTACTATGGATAGGGCGCCTGGGTGGCTCAGTCGTTAAGCGTCTGCCTTCGGCTCAGGTCATGATCCCAGGGTCCTGGGATCGAGTCCTGCATCTGGCTCCCCGCTCCGCGGGAGGCCTGCTTCTCCCTCTCCCACTACCCCCGCTTGTGTTCCCTCTCTCGCTGTGTCTCTCTCTGTCAAATAAATAAAATCTTTAAAAAAAAAAAAAGTACTATGGATAAAAGAAAAAGAAAAGTAAGGAGATCAGGAGTGAAGGATTGGGGCCTCACTGAGCAGGTGACAGTTGAGCAAAGCTCAAGTTCAGAGCGCTGTGGGGGGTGGGGTGGGGTGGGGTGCTGTAGGGACAGAGGGGTGGCCCGTGTGGCTGGGGCAGGGAGAGCAAGGGTCCAATTGGTGAGGACCCTGGAGGCCACTAAGAGGGCTTTGGCTTTTATTCCTGGGGAAATGGGGAACCACTGCTGGGTTTTAAGCAGAAGAGAGAAATTTTGACTTATGTCTTAAAAGGGCCATTTTGGCTACGTCCTAGAATAGACTTGTGTACAAAGGTAGAGGCAGGGAAACCATATGGAAGGTCAACGAACACAAAAGAGAAAAGGCTCACTCTCACAGGTAATCAAAGAATGCAGCTTAAAAAAAAAAGACACATTGACGGTTTTTAACCCTACCCCATGTTTAATGTTCTTTTAAGAAGATAGTACACAGTGGTGATAAGAGCCAGGGCATTCTGGGCAGGTAAATGGAGACCACCTTTCTGGAAGCAGCTGAGTAACCTGCGTCAAAACCTTAGAAATATTCAAACCCTTTCTCCAGAAATCCAACTTTTTTTTTTTAATGTTTTTTTATTTATTTGACAGAGAGAGAGACAGTGAGAGAGGGAACACAAGCAGGGGGAGTGGGAGAGGGAGAAGCAGGCTTCCCGCGGAGCAGGGAGCCCGATGTGGGGCTCGATCCCAGGACCCTGGGACCATGACCTGAGCCCAAGGCAGACACTCAACGACTGAGCCACCCAGGCGCCCCCAGAAATCCAACTTCTAACAAATTAAGCTAAGGTGCTCATAATGCCTACTGCTTATTGAGTGTTTGTAAGCACGGGACTGTGTACTAAACACACCCGACACATCCCTTCATTTAAATCCTTACCATTCTTGCCATTTTATAGAAAGAAAAAAGGCAGAGTGAGTCGTGCAGCTCACAGATAAGGGCTGGAACCAACCTCAGGCCCTCTGAGGCTAGTACAGAGCAGAGCAGACACAAAGATTCGTGTGCAAGGGTGCTTATTACAGCATCATTTAGAAGAGCTAAGAAAGTAAAATGAAACCAACAAAGGGAGGTTATTAAATTATGATTTATCCACATAATTCAGTCATTAAAGATCGTGTTGAAGAAAATAGTTCTAGATGTGGCCAAGTGCTGACATAGGCAGAACTTCAAGCAGCTCCCTGCTTCCTGTTAGCAGTGACCAGCTGCTGGAATGTTCCATTTCTTGATCGAGGTGGTAGTTCCATGGGTATGCTCACTTCGGGATCCTTCATCAAACTGTACACTTTGCGTACTTTTCTGTGTATATATTATACTAAAAAATGTTAAAGTTATTTTTAAAAGTTTAAGTTGCCAGGTGCTTCTCCTGGGGAATACAAAAATGTCTGCAGAACAGGTCTTCTGGGGGCCCCGGACTCCCTCTTGGTTATGTAGGCGTGTAAGGCTGGTAGCCACCACCTGCTCCATGGGGAGCGAAGGAAGGAAGTGGCTGGCCTCCTGGGCAGAGAGAAATTAAGGCGACCACTACCACTCCACCTGCCATCTTCACCCACAGCTCAGGACATCCCCACTTAGAGCGGAGTTCATCCTGCCCGAGTGAACCTGAAGGTTCACTGAACTGAAGTCAGTGAACCTGACTCTAGCCTCAGGGTCCAGGATCAGTCCTGAAGGGGGTGAGGGCTTAACAGGGGAGGGGTGGAGGCTGGTGCTAGCCCCCTCTCCCCCAGGCTCCTACCCAGAGGGCATCCAGAGGCAATGAAGGCTTGACCACCTCTTCTTCTGGGCAAGTAGGAGCTCCAGTGATCAATGTGAATACTGAAAAGGGAAGCAAGTCTTGACAGTTGCCCTAAATGGTCAACAAATATTAGTACGTAAACAAAGCAGGTTGTAAGACAACATATGCAGTATGATCTCAATTTTTTAAAGAGGGGGGAAAAGCCGGAGAGAGTAGTTTTCTCTACATTACAGAATACCTTGTTTTTTTATTAGTCTACATTCTAAATTTCCTGTAATTGACATGTTTCTTTTGTAAGCTGAAATAAAAAGCTATAGAATATGTAAGGGAGAGATTGCTGGTATCTTGTCTCCACTCCTTTTTCATACCCTGTGGCCCCCCCCTTCCAGGACCCAGGTGGGCAAAACTGAACCCCTGGGGGACTCCCGGGGGTGGGGGTGGGGGGAGGGGGGATCACACACACTAAACTACAGGAAATACCATCAGTGACGAACCTTATTTTGTCCGGTGCTGTGGCATCCAGTAGGAGCTTAATCCATACCCATGACCAGCATCTCGTCTTAGCAGAACTGCCTGCAAAACCACAGCCTTTGAGTAGAAGCCCAAGTGTCAGGCTCAGTGTTTCGAAGCGCACCCGAGCCCCTGGCAGCCCGGGAGCAGACACTGCTGTCAGGGCTGTCCCCAGGGCCCTGCTCCCTCCTTGGCCCGTGGCCACCTGCCCCAGAACACTGGCCCTTCAGCGCCACTGCCGCCCCCACCAGAGGGAAATGAGCAAAGGGCAAGTGCCCTACAGAAAGCAAGACACCTCACAAAGGTGACGCACTCAAGGACAGGGTCACACGCGGACAGGGATCATGGTCGGATGATGGACAGACAGAAATTCTCTCAAAGGTCACAGAGAGTTGGCACAACGTCCCCACCTCCACTCAGGGCTCATCACTCTCGTCTTGCCTATTGTGTTGCCCTCACCAGACCACAAGCTCTTTGGGGGACCGGCCAGGTGTCACCCCCGCCACCAGCCCAGGCACGCAGAGGACATGCTGACTGAATGTGCAGACAAATGAAGAAATAGTTGGGAGAAACATTGGCAGTGGAGACAGAGTGGGTAAGCCATGTGAAAGAACAAACAGATGGAAGAGACTGCTAGCCACAGAAATGGAGGGACATGGAGATGAGTGAATGACGAGATGGGTGGGGGGGGGTTGAGAAAAAGAAACAAAAGCTAGAGAAACCCAGTGATATACCCAAATGAAAGTTAAAGATACAGGGGCAGGGAAATAGGAGAGACAGGCTTCCTTTACCCTTGCCAGGATGTTATTAGCATCACTGGGCTGGCTTCCTCAGTTTCCCTCCTCAGGGTTTACAGGGCTGTAGCCCCAGGGACTGGCAGCCTGCTGGGTCTTGTCAGCTTTCCCCTTTGGGCAGGGGACTCTGTTCCCTCCTCCTCCCCACTGCATGCTGGCTGAGGTCCACCTGCCCCCCAACCTGGACAGAAGGGGCTCTCCACACAGCAGGCCCCAGCCAACAGCTTTGGCACAATCCCTCCACTGAGGAAGGTCCTGGGATGAGGTCCCCTCTCTTCCTTCCTGTACTGAGGATCAGCTCGGCCTCTAGCAGTTCTGGGCCCCAGGTTGGAGGGCTTGGGGGTGGGACCAGGGCAGGTTTCCATTCAGCAGGCCCGCCACTCCTGCCTTTGGGGGCGGGAGGTGGGGGGGGTGGGGGGTGGGGGGAGTCAGGAAAGGGAGAAGCTGGTCAGGCTGGTGGCTGAGGGGGACCGAGGGGGACCAAGGGGGCTTCCTGCTTCCGTGGAGCGGTGGAGACTTGCCTTGGTGCCCAGACTGTTATTTCAGCTCTGGTATTTCCAATTCCCCAAGGAACCACGGTGGGGGGGGGGGGGGGCGGGGGGGGGGGCGTAGCAGAGAGCTGGGAGGGAAAGCAGAGTGGGAGGCAGCTAGAGCCACCGAATTCCTCTGGGTCCTAGAGAAGGGTGGTTTCCTCCCCTCCCCTCCCCTCCCCTCCCCCCCAATCCATCCCTTGAAAAGGGTCCTGACCTCCCCTCCCCCACTTCCGGACTTCTCCAGAGTCCCAGCCCTGAAGATAGACACTCCAAACCAAAGGGCCGCAGTCCCCTCCAGGGCCCCTCCCTTGGCTTAGCTCTGGGGACCAAAGCCCCCCTGCCTCCCCAACCATTGCGCCAGATGTCGCTGCCGGGAGGGGACAGCACGGGCCTCAGCTGGCAGTGGTCACTCGGTGGTCCTCTCCCTGCAGAGTCAGCAAATTCTGTGCCAGCTCACCAGGCCTCCTCATTCAGCACTTCCTTCAGTCCCCTTTCCAGAAGCACTGCTGGGGTACACAGTTCAAGGCTGGCTGGGCTGGAGCTTCCATTCCCAATTCAACACAAATCCCATCAATGCCCTTTCCTCAGCTGCCCACCCAGGTGCCAGGGCTTGGGTTCAGCAGCCAGTGATCACACGGAGGAGGGGGAGACCCAGGACAGGAGCACGGGAGCCTGCCTCATCCCTACCACCTCCCAACCCCCCCTCACCGCCCCCCCTCCCCCTCAACCCCGCCATTGCAGAAACATTCAGACCCCCAGTGGGCCTCCTGGTCCTTCCCTCTACAGAATAGTGAGGAGTCCCACACTCAGTCCCTCCTCTGCTCCCCAAACCCTCTGCTGGTCAGGCTTGATGCTTCCTCACTCCTGATGGATTTTCCAGAACCTGGAGTTCCATCACAGGGTCACGGGACACGAACTGCTCCATGAGAGCCCCAGCAACAGAGCAGCCCAGCCCAGATCCCAGCACACAGTAGGTCTTAACAAAGTCATGCGCTATCGGCAAGCTTTCAACCCTAGATCGCTGGCCCTCCGAGGTCCCTTGAGCCTGGTTCCTGGTGCCAGGGACTGGCAACAAGCCTCAACCATATGGCAAGATCTTAAAAATGTGGGTGTGAATCCCAGCCTGTAAGGACAAGGCCTAGAGAGGAGCCCCCACGCCACCCCCTCGTGTCCAGACAGCTCAGGCCCAGCCCAACCTGGTGACTCAAGGGCCTCTCTTGAGCCAAGCTCTGCACCCTCTGCGGCCTGGCCAGGCCTCTCTCAGACCACCACTCTGAAGGTTGCAGTCGGAGGATGCCAGGACACCTCCAGCTACCGAGGCAAGGCCTGGCCCTGTGTCTGCAGAGGGGGAGCTGGGCAGGCTGCCCTGGGCTCACAGAGCTGCAGGAGGTGCAGACAGGAAGGGAGAAGGAAGTTGAGGGAGGGAGTGAAGAGGAGGAAAGAAGGGGGTGGTGCTTGGCCCCCCTGCACAAGGCTCCCCCTGGACTAGGAAGGATGCTGGAGACAGATCCAAACAGGAAAGGGACAGAGAAAATGGGGGTCGGAGGAGCACCCGTGGGCGAAGAGCCCCACCTCCCCCCGCCCCCCCCCCCACTCCCGGTGCCGGCCCGAGGAGGGAAGATAGTGTCATGTGCCTGGCACGGTGCCGGGCACTTTTCATTATCTTCCCATTTCATCCTCCCAAATTTACCACGATAAACGTGTTATCAGCCCCAAGACTCAGATGAAGACCGAAGCTCTGAGAGGGCACCAGACTTCCCCAGGGAATGGCTGAGGGCCAGGCCAGGCCCCTGGCAGGGTCAGCCTCGGGACCCTGGCTCTCCGGATGGCAGGGGCCATGGCTCTGACCACGGTGAACATGCAGAGGTGCAAGCTCTGAGCAGAACAGAGCTTACTCGGAGCCTAACAGGAAGCTTGGCTCCTCTGACTCACTCTGATCCGACCTTATTAAGAAAAAAGGAAAGAGGAGCAGGAACCAGGCCTGGGTAGGGTTTCACGCCAAGAGCTGGCTCTGCGGCCAAGGCCAGCTGAGCAGGGTAGCCTGTGCCCTGATCCCCCCACAGCCCCAAAGCCCTGAGGCAGCCCCTGCCCTCGCCAGGCTCCCTGGCTCTCCGAAGACTGCTCCCCCCTTCTCCACTCTCAGCCACTGGGGCTCCCCTACCTGGCGGCCAGTCTCTGTCCTCCCCCCATCCTTCCTCCTCCCTTCCCCTCCCTGACAGGGGGTACCCTGAGGCCTGTTTCCACTTCTCCTCCTCCTCTCCTGGAGCTGCTGCCCATCTGGCTGGCGGAAGGGCCCTACAGGACCCCAGGGATTCGAAGCAGCTGGGGCCAGCACTGCAGGGGGCAGGCAGGAGGCAGGGGAGGCTTAACCCTCCAGGTCCCAGCCCTCCAGCCCTCCCCCTCCGTGAGCCTGACTCTGCATCAAGCTTGATGGGGGGGTGGGGGTGGGGGGAGAAAACCAGTCACTCCTTGCAGGAGTCCTGCCTGGAGTCTGAAACCTAACCCCACATGGGGCAGCTGAGGGGCCCGTGTTGAATGGTTGCCGGCTGGATTATGAGGGTGGACAGTCACCTGAATCAAGCCTCATCCTGAGGCACAGTGCAATGGGTGAACAAATGCTGGCTGGCAGGGGTGAGCGCCGGGGCTCCAGGGTCCCCGAGGAACGTCCACTCTAGCTGTCTTCTCCCAGTTGGGCTCCAGGAGTTTGCAAAGTAGAGGGGAATCTGCAGGGGCCAAACTAAGGGCAAGTTCTTTCTACTTGGTGTATAAGCACAGGAAGGCAATTTCTGCCCTCCAGTTCACGAGCAAGGTGGGAGAAGGCAGCCCAGGGGAGGCTTTCAGAGGGTGATTTCTTAGATGCCAAGATGTTCACACTTCTGGCACCCTTCCTATCTCTGCCTTCCTCAGAGAGGACAGAGAAACTCCCAAAGCACTCTTGGGGACCATCTAGTCTAATCCTCCATTGATCAGATGTGGCAACTGGATCAGAGTGAAGGGGCTTGCCCAAGATCACCCAGTCACGGCACCAGGACGAGGCCTAGCTCTTCTGGATGCCCCTTTCTGCTGTTCTATGCTGACAGCGCTTGAGCCTCCTATGCCATATCAAAGACAGCCCCTGTGTCTCATTTTACTCACGGGCATACTCAGGTTATTGCCAGGCTACTATGATTCAAGAGACGCAGAGCAGAAACCTCCATGATGTGATGCATAAGAAGCTGACCCCTCCCATGATTTCAAAAGTTCTATTCAGCACAAGGGCATAACCCCATTCTACAGATTTGGGAGAGTAAGGCCAAGAGGTGTGCGAAGAGGGGAAAAAGCTGAAGCTCCAGCCCTTTCGTACTCAGGCCTAAGGAACTGAGGTGCCCCTGGGGTCCAGAATCAGGTTTAGCATCTCCCCCAAGGAGGCCCACCAACAAGAAGGGTGTCTCTTGGCACTGGCTTTGCAGAAGGGGAGCTCAGGGGGTCCTGGGGAGAGGCTGGGGCTCATCCAAGCCCAGAGAAGACAGTAAGGTGAGACCAGGGGTGCTGGGTCCAAAGCTGAAATGGCCATAGGGGTGCTGACACTCCAGCCGTGTTCTGCCTGCACCCCCAGAGGCCCCTTCTACTCCCTGCTTCATTCCCTTCCTCAGAGGCAGGTCTGCGGCTTGGCTGGAAGCTCCAGGGACTGAGGGAGCAGAGCAGCTGTGGGACCGGCAACATAGCTAAAACCCGGCGGGCCGTAGGGCCCCGCGGAGGAGGCCCCAGCAGGCGGACCAGGCTGCCCGAAACCTCCCAACGCTCCCAGCCTGTTGCTTATTCATTCAGAGTGGGAAAGCGCCAGCCCAGCGGCCAGCCAGTACCGGGCTGGCCATGTAAGGCCCCCAGGCAGTCCTGCCTGTCCGGTGCCCTGCAGAGAGCCTCGTGCAGCCCTGGGCACCGCCCCTGCCCTGCCCTGACCCCTTGGCCTCGAAATGCTGTCATCGGAGGAGCCGTCCCGCTCGGGACAAGGCCAGCATGGACAAAGCTAGAGCTGGGGCAGGCAAGGAGCCGTCCTGTCCTCGAGGCCGTGGGAAGAGAAGCACGCACAGGAGTACACTCCTGAGAGCCTCTCGGTCCACCAGGCCTCTGCAGAGGGGCCACCATGGCTCTAGCCCGAGCTGGCTGGCAGCTGGGGGCCCTGGTGTGGGGCGCCTGCCTCTGCGTCCTGGTGCACGGGCAGGAGGCGCGGCCGGGGCAGGGCTCGGGCCCGGGGCGCTGGCGGCAGCTGATTCAGTGGGAGAACAACGGGCAGGTGTACAGCCTGCTCAACTCGGGCCCAGAGTACCTGCCGGCCGGGCCGCAGGGCACCGACAGTAGCTCCCGGGTGCTGCTGGCCGGCGCTCCCCAGGCCCCGCGGCGGCGCAGCCCAGGAGGCCTCCGGCGTCGGCAGGCCCCGTCGCTGCCCCTGCCCGGGCGCGTCGGCTCGGACACCGTGCGCGGCCAGGCGCGGCACCCGTTCGGCTTCGGCCAGGTGCCCGACAACTGGCGCGAGGTGGCCGTCGGGGACAGCACAGGCATGGCCCGGGTCCGCACCTCCGTCTCCCAGCAACGACACGGGGGCTCCGCCTCCTCGGTCGCGGCCTCGGCCTTCGCCACCACCTACCGCCAGCCGCCCTCCTTCCCGCAGCAGTTCCCCTACCCGCAGGCGCCCTTCGTCAGCCAGTATGAGACCTACGAGCCCGCGTCGCGGACCTACGACCAGGGCTACGTGTACTACCGCGGCGGCGGCGGCGGTAGCGCGGGGGCGGCGGCCGTGGCCTCGGCCGGGGTCGTCTACCCCTTCCAGCCGCGGGCGCGCTACGAGGAGTACGGCGGCGGCGAGGAGCAGCCCGAGTACCCGCCGCAGACCTTCTACCCGGCCCCGGAGAGGCCCTACGCGCCGCCGCCCGCCGACGGCCTGGACCGCCGCTACTCGCACAGCCTGTACCACGAGGGCACCGCCGGCTTCGAGCAGGCGCCCCCGGAGCCGGGCCCCGACGCGCCGCCCGCCGGCGGCGGCAGCTCCGCCGCCGACCCCCGCCTCGGCTGGTACCCGCCGTACGCCAACGTGCCGCCCGAGGCCTACGTCCCGCCGCGGGCCGTGGAGCCGCAGCCCCCCTTCCGCGTGCTGGAGCCGCCCTACCTGCCCGTGCGCAGCTCGGACGCGCCCCCGCCAGGTGGGGAGCGCGGCGGCGCGCAGCAGGGCCGCGTCAGCGTGGGCAGCGTGTACCGGCCCAACCAGAACGGCCGCGGTGAGTACCGTCGCGCGCCCCGCCGGCCGCCCGTGGGCCTCCCCCGAGCTGAGTGAGGAATCCCCCCGCCCGCCTCGACAGCCACCGTGCGTCCCACCTCCCAGCCTCCCCAGGTCCGCGCACCGTTGGTGGCGGGATTTGGCCAGGCAGGCCTGGGCTCTGACCCTGGCTGGAGGGGTCGGGGAGGGAGGGACTGGCTGGGCTTGGCGAGGAGGCACCTTCCAGACCTGGTTTGGGTCATCTGGGGACCAAGGGAAGGAGACCTTCTTCCTGCCCCTCCCTCATTTCAGCAGGGCGAGGCTTCCACCCCTGGAGGTGCCCCTAGGCCGACCCCACAGGGTGAAGCAGGGAGCATCAGCGTCAGGAACCTGGGTCTTCAGGGTCCGAAAGGCCTTAGGGCATGCCCCTGGAGGTGTGGCACTGATTTTGATTTTTAAAAGTACTGCTGCAAATACTACTTCTGGTTATTGAGTTTTCTGGCGCCCAGGCCAGTGCCTCCCTCATTTCACTCAGCTCACTGGGGTGCTGGCCCTGGGGGAGAGCCCCAGGGGGGAGCTGTAGACATCCCTCCCTCTGTCATTTTCTGGCGGGAGGGGGCCCGCGAAGATATGACCCGGTCTTGGGAAGGCCCAAGCCATCTGTACATGAGAACACGGCGAAGGGGCAGCTTTTCCTCCTTGAGACGGACAACTCCACACATGCTGTTTGTTAGCAGGCGGGCTACTGTGGTGAGAGCCCACTAGGGGCCTGGCCAAGGCTAGATGGCTATCAGCCCACCCTCTGCTGTCCTAGAATTCCCCTTTCTGCCTCTGTATCTGCAAGTCCAAAGGCAGCTGCAGTCAAGGTTTTCCGTTCAGTCCCTCCAGGCTGCAGTCAGTGCCCCAGTTCTCTGCTCCCCACCAAGGTTGCCCGGCCAGGCTTGCCAGGTGAGGGCTGAGGCCCGCAGGGCCGGGGGCAAAGACACAACAGCCCCAGACTTTGCTTCTCTGCCGCTGTCAGCTCAGGGCCTGCTGCCTTGTCTCCAGCCACACCGACCTGGGTGAGAGGCTGCTGCGGGGGGTGGGGGGTGGGGGGAGGGTTTCTGTCTCCCTCGGGGCTGCTGGAGTCCAAGGCTAGGGGAGAGGAGTGTCCCCACTGGTAGCACCCGCTGCCTCACATCCACGGCAGAGCACTCAAGTTGGGTGCTGAATCCCACTTGGAGAACCTGCAGGGGCCTCGGGAGAGGAGCCGGATGGGGGCCCCTTCCGTGATGCGATGAAGGATGCGTGCTCCTGCCCACCGTGGCCTCACCCACATCGGGTCCTCACTGAGACTTGCTACAGCCTGGCAGCAGGGTGCTCTAAGCTGGGCATCATCTGCTCCTAGAGCTCCTTGGAGGAGAGGGCATCCCACCTTATAGGGTGCTAAGCTTTCGAGGTGGCTTTCTGAGGATCCACGACCTCAGACTGGGACATCTCTGGAAGTGCCCCACTCCTGGGCATGGGAGAAATCAGAGGCGGCCAATGCTACAGCTCTGCTGGCAGAGCTAGGCCCGGGACTCAGCGTCTGTGAGCCAAGCCAGTGGGTTTTCCAGGGCCCCTGTTTGGCCTGACAGTTCCTGAAGTTCCGAGGCGACCAGCCAGGGCCAGGCCATGTGCAGAGCCGCGGTACTTGGTGCTTATCAGAGTCTCTGGTCTTGCCCCTGAGCCCCACAGTTCGTTTGGGTTAAAAGTGTGCTGGTAAGCATCACATCCGGCCCCTGCTCTGGAGGAGGCATGGCAAAGGGGACGCGTCCGTGCTGTGATTGGGCAGGCATTAGAGGCATGAACTAGGGGATCCCAGGTGAGGGGCCTCCCCGGTCAGGGGCTAGGGGTTCAGGGAGGACTTCCCAGAGGAGGAGGTACCTGTGCATTGCTGCAAGTGATGGCCATCAGCCCCCTCCAGGTGCTCCTTCCCCTAGTCATGGGGGAGGGGGGGAATTGGTGTGGGGATGGGAGGGAGTGTGGGGGTGCAGGCTAGTTTGGGGCTCACAGAGAGACCAGGGAAGGAGCAGTACCTTCTCCCCCATCATTGACTCCCCCTTCCCACCCTGCTGCTAGGCCCAGACCATGGAAAATCCCAGTTAGGAGAAGGCCAAGCCTTGTGCTTGAGATCAGACCCCCAGGCCTGGTGTGGGAGTCCAGGCAGATTCTCTGGGACTGACCTCATTCCTCCTGGCCACACACCCAGGGGTCTGAGGCTGGGTGCTGGCAGCCTCTGTGTGTGTGGGCGTGGATGTGTCCTCACAACACCAAACACATGTGCGCTCCGCCCACATCCCTCCATGTTTGGGCACTTTCCAAGCGTCTGTCCAGAGCCCGGTTTATTCCTCTGGCGCCTGCACCCTCTTCCCTCCCACCCAGGGCTGGGGCTGCCCAGACCTCCTGCAATCCCATTGTCTCCAACTCTGCAACTTGTAACTGGAGAGAAGACCAGGAAACAGAGGCCCAGAGAGGGGCACATACTTTGCCTGGCTCTCAGCAAATCCGTGCAGACGCCTGGAGGGGGGCCGGCAGCTTCCCAGGCCTCGCCGTGTCCCCTGCACAGCGCCTCTCCCTCCACCATGGTCAGGCCCTCCCTTCCCGGCCTCCTATCCCTGCTCCTGCCCCCACACCCCCCCCCCTGCCCCCAGCTTCAGCTTTTCTGAGCTGGTGGTCTTTGGACCAACTAAGGTGACTCCAGGTCTCTGAAGACCACAGCTCTTCCCCCAGGGCTCCCCCTTCCAGCCCCGGCCAGCTTCACCGGCCCTGGCAACCCTGTGGAAGCAACACGGAGCAGCCTCCCTGGCCATTCTCCCGGGGCCTCGCTGATGGCTGCGCCAGCTTTGTCTGGCATGGTCCTCCACCCCTGTCCTCACATGGCCAATCAGCCCAGGAGGAAGCTCTGGCTGCCTCCTCCCTGGTCCCCTGCTCCCAGCCTTTCCCTGGCCAGTCCCTCTACACGTGGGGCAGATAAAGCCCTGGAGTGCTGACTATATTATTCTCCTGCTCAAGAACATGCTGTGGTTCCTGAAGGCTTTCAGGACAAAATAAATGCCTTAGCCTACCGTTCCAAAAGCAGAGGCACCTCCTTCCTTTCCTTCTCCCTGCCTCACACCCCACAGACTCCTGGGAACCGGGCTGCCCCGGCCTGGAAGTCTCACCTCCTTGTACACCCAGAGGTGTTCCTAGCGTACTCCCCTCTCCATCTAACCTCCCGCACTCAAGAAGCCAGACAGGACCCCTTCGTCCCTGAGAGCAGTCCTGGCTCCCTGCCCCCATCCCTACGCCCAGGCCAACCCCCCACCCTTGCCTCCCCTTCTCCAGGTCACCTCCCTACCTCCACAGAGCTTGGAGTAGATGCAGGGAAGGACAGAAGCTGGCCTCTACCCAAAAAGCATCTAGAGTTCGAGCCCTAAGGAGGGGATGATAATAACAACCCGGCCATCTGCTGAAGAGCACCCCCGTGAGCAGGGTGGCTGAAATGTGCACTGTCACTCACCCTCACAGCCTCCTGGAGAGGTGGGGGTGGTACTCCTCTGGCACAGTTGAGAAAGCAGAGATCTAGGGAGGCCTCCCAGCTGGCGCGGCCGAGCCGGAACTCAGACCGAGCCTGTCATCTCTGCGCCGCACCCAGATGACCCTAGGAAGACCCATACTCCACCTGCGAGCCAGGTGGGGCAGGCCAAGCACCTCGGCCTCCTCCAGCAGCTCTCTGGGCCTCAGTTTCTCCAGCTGCAGCCAGGGGAGGGAGAATGACACTAGCATTTGTGGGCACTTCACGCATCACAACCCTTAATTATCGTAGCAACCCCACGAGCCTAGTACCGTTCTTCGTCCCATCTCATAGATAAGGCGACAGGCTCGTCTGCTGATGTTCACACAGCCTCTTAGTCATGAAACCAGTTTGTGAGTCTGCATGAACCCCCATCCTGAGTTCTTAACCACCAGACATAATTTTGTTCAACTTGATGTATTCTTGCCTCTCCTGCACACCTCATTTATTCATTCCTTCAGATATTTGCCTGTCCACTATGTTCCAGGCACAGGTTGTGACAGGCTGAGTCAGGACAGCGGATCTGCAAGGTTTTGGAAGCAGAGTCCCTTCCTGGTGTGGTGTTTGCAAAGACTTGCCTTTCTCACTCCAGACTCCAGAACACTTACGTCACAAGCACTTATATCGTGCTTTCTCGGTGTCTTCTACACTTCCTGGAGCTTTATGATTAGAGTCCATTAATGCTCAGGGCAACCCTAGGTATTATTTATCTTCCCCATTTAGCAGATGAGCAAACTAAGGCTCTCAGAGGGTAAGTGGCTTGTCCAGGTCACATCACTGGTGACTGGCAGAGCCAGAATCACAGCTCAGCCTTCCTTTCTCCTTCCCTGAGGCTGTCTTGGGAGCTCCTTCAGAAAGAAATGGAGTGTTCAGGCTGAGGAAGCTGTCGTGAGGGGTCAGACAAGCTGTGGAGACAGAGGGACCTGGGTCCTCTTCCTGCTCCCCCATTCGGCAAAGGTCACTAGTGTCAGAACGAACAAGTTGTGTCCCGAGCAGCCTCATCTCAGGCAGACTTCCTGTCTCCTCTTATCATCCGGTTGCAAGGCCACATCCTCTCTCCCCTGGTCTCAAGCTGGACCATCCCTGCAAAAAGAGATGGCTCCTATTTTAAATAACAATCATAGAAGCTGCTATTTCTCAAACACTGCACCAGACACAAAGCTAAGCACTGGATTTTCGTTTTCTCATTTAGTGGCCCCAGCAACCCCGGGAGGTAGAGAGTATCATCGCCCCCGTGGTGCGGACCAGGAGCCCGAGGCTAGAGAAGCTCAGTGACTCATCTGAGGTCTCAGGACATCGGCGGCCAGGCTGGGAGCCAGGCTGCCCCTCTGCCCTGCTGGACGGCCCAAGCCTCTCCACTCCTACCCCTCAGGGAAAGCTATCTCCTTGTTTCTCTCAGGTCTAAAACCCTGGAAAACCCAAATTTGGACTTTTGCCTTGAGTTCGCAGGCCCCATAGGCCTTTGTGTGGTAGCTGAGCAGGGTGGGGGATCATTAGGGCCTTAGGAGTGTCTCGCCTCCTCCCTTCTCTCCGAACCCCAGGGGTGCCCATCTCAATGTCCTCTCAGCTCTGAAGGCTCAAGCGTGCACACACACACTCACACACTCACATACTCACACTGCCAGGAGTCCCAGCCTGAGTCCACCCCACTCCTGTCCAAGCCAAAAACACATGGAAAACTCCCCAGGGCAGTGCTGGAATGGCAAGAGAGGAAGGGGCGGGGGGAGGGGAGGAGGCGGGTGGTCCGCCCAGGCAGCCCACACCTGCTTCCAATTCCCGTGCCGGGCATTCCTGTGGGGCAGCAGTCGGCTCGGCGGCCGGAAGGAGAGGCTGGGTCTGGTCCCCTCTCCTGCTCTGACCTAACAGCCTCCTCGCCACAGGCAGCTGGACCCAGAGGGCCTTTCTGTATGGATTCAGAATTACAGGGCCGGGGTTGGGCCTGGGTCCCTCTCCGCCTTGCTGACGAGCACTCAGGAACCGGGCATTTCAGCGTCACCTGGAAATGGGCTGGTGTCAGAACATCAGAGCAGGAAGGGATTCAGGTGGGGAAGGCAAAGTCCCGGAGGCCTTTGCCATCAAAGCCTCAGGA